AATATTCTGTTGGGAAAGATTTTATTTTGGAAAACGTCCATTACAAATGGGAGATATTTGTTGTAGTGACCCGATCTTTGTTATTTTCACTGTAAATATTCTGTTAATGATGAGTGAAAACGGTGAGAATTTTCATGTTCCTAGCTGCATAAATGGAGAAGTTATGGCAAAAAATCTGATATCTGAACAATCAGTTGTATGGAGGCTATAGGTTATACCTACCCGATCTCCGCCATTTTCACTGAAAGTATTCTTTTGATAATGAGTTACAGCAGTGCAAAATTTACTGTTACTAGCTACTTAAATGGATGAGTTATAACGAAAAATCTTATATCTGAACAATCAGTAGTATGGGAGCTATAGGTTATAGTGTCCCGATCTTTGTAATTTTCCCTCCAAGTTTTCTGTTGATAATGGGTGGAAGTATTGCAAAATTTCATGTTCCTAGCTGCATAAGTGGAGAAGTTATAACGAAAAATCTCATATCTGAACAATCAGTTGTATGGGAGCTATATGTTATAGTGGTCCGACTCTTCCGGTTCCGACAAATGATTAATACATTATAAAAATACACCCATCTACCAAATTTCATCCGGATATCTCGAAAACTGAGAGACTAGATTGCATACAAACAGACGGACAGACAGACAGGCAGACAAACAGACGGACATGGCTAAATCGACTCAGCTCGATGTTCTGATCATTTAACAATACATTTTAATGGGTCTATCTCTTCTTATTCTGGTACTTACAAACATCGGACCAAAGTTATAATACCATTTCATGCTCATGAAAGGTATAAAAAAAGGAGAAGGCAAACAGCTAGTAAAGACGGGCCGCTGCTTGGCCTCTCTTCGCCGGTGATGCTGGTGCTGCGGCGATTAGCGTCGATGCCGACAGAACGATCGCTGCACTTGTTTCGTTTCCCTCAGGCTCTGCCTCTGCTTATTCTCCCTCGCTGTTATATGTTCACTTCCAACCGGATGTGTTGAGTCTGCAAACCCTTATGTATATTCGCAGATCAGCGGCCGTTGACCTGGTCCACTCTATGTACCAGGAACCGCTGTTTGACGTGTTCTTTTAGCTGATATCAGCAGACGGACGATAGATTTAAGGTATGCGTATATACATATACAGTATATTTTGCTTTGCTGCCTCTATGCTTAAGTGCACATTTAAGATACCTACCCCAAAATGCGCATCAGAGGCATTATTTTTAACATTTATAAGGAAACTGCTCCGATAGATGCATTTAGCATACCTGTACATTGGCGATACCTGCCTTAAAAAATATGCGACTAGTATCAATTATCAAAGAAAGTATTACGTTTACCTGCACTGGCCCTACAATTACCTAATTTTACAACTTTTTATTTATTTTGTTCATCTCGCAGGACAACGAAAATGGCTATAAATTTATGTAGTTATATAGATAATTAGATACTATTCGGTAAAAATTTCGCTTGCAGTAATTTCTACGTGGTAAGTGCTTCTCCATTATTTGCTTTCATAGGGAATTGGATACATTCCCCATTGAAGTAGTAAAGAAAATTCGCTTAAGTGCCTTTTTCGGTTAAGTGCACAAGTTTTTCGTGCAAAGAAGGATGTGCAGCTAAGCAAAATATACTGTATGTGTCGATGGATGTGTACTGATTGTGGATACGTGTTTACGGTGGTGCGTGTGGGTGTTGATCCAGGTGTGTGATGCAATCTGTAGTGCGTGTGGATGTTAATTGTTTTAACCCGTGTGTGTGTCAATCTCGGTGTCATAGATAAGTGGGGGTGCGTATGGGTGTTGATCCAATTGTATTATCTATGTAAATAAATATGCTGTAGTGTATGAGTATGTTGGCTAGGATGTAATGTGTGGGTGCATGTGGTTATGTGTCTTGTTGCTCCTAGGTCAATCTCAAAATTATCGAGGTCCTTTTGCACTGAACTGAAAGAAAAGATAAACAAATGGTTATTAGTAACGTAGCTTAAGCTTCGCGTTCGGGTGAGCATTTTTGTTTAGCAACCAACCTTCATCCATACATACATACAAACATATGCACCTGCGCCTGCGCGCACCTTTGCATGAACATACATGAGTGCATTAAAGTGCAAGTACTCATCCGTATATATGCATGTATACATGTAGGCAAGCCACTAGAAATTTCTTGGTGCCCTGGATTAGGTTCAAGGCATTTCAATGCGAGAACTTTTTCTTACCTCGAATTCCGTTTGTTAGTAACCGCTAGATTCGCTACTGGTCGGTGCAAGTTACTATGCTTTCAAAACCCGCTTTTTGCACTTTGTTATATTTGCATTCGTATGTATATATGCATATATAGACATGTACATACATTCACTCCACTATATACCGAGCTATTTACCGCACTGAATAATTCTCGCTTGGTCCCTTCGCACTCACCTCTTTACACACACAAACTTTTTCCGATAAAGGAAAGATTTTTGTTCCGGATAATAATTACAAATATTTTTGTGTTTATTTATGCTCAACAATTGGTGTTTTTCTGCGTATGTACAGAGCGTGTTTATTAAATATTTAGATTTAAACATTCACTACTAGGGCGCGTGCGCGATGTCCGACGTTTTTGGCTGAACTGACTGGTCTCTCATTTGGCCCGATGATGGGAAGCGGCCGTGCGCGCTCGTTAATCATTTTTCGGACTTCACACCGCTGCGGCGGCTTAAACATCGAGCGCTTTTTTCGCTCGGAAAATTGCGTGATTGCGCTGCGTTGATAAGACGAATTTTTGCATATTGAAATTCGTTATGTGTCAGATGCGGATAGGTGATTGTAGCTAACCCCTTTAATTTGTTGCGGGTATTGCTCACGAAGCGGAACATGTAAGCAGTCACGCGGAGTGCTCGAGAGAAAGAAGAAAAGCGATCAAGAAAATCGACCTCTTCTTCAAGCGCGTGATATACCTCCACTTTGCGCTTTTCTGGTGGAGATGCACTGCATGCCTTTCACCTTGGCCATGCATCCATGTGGCAAGAGAGCCATTTTGGTCTGTGCCACCAGAGTGGGGAATTTGCCAAGTCCTGCGGTTTGCACCCGCGGGTGCCGAGGTCGGCTGGATTATCTTGGCTGGCAACATGGCGCCATATACCGGTTGGAAGATATTCCCGGATTTGGGAGGTACGATTGGATACATACGTCTTCCATGTACATGGTGGTTTTTCAAGCCAAGCTAGCACAATCTCTGAATCTGACCATACGAATGTGTTGCACGATTCCAATTTGAGCTGTTTTCGAAGAGTTGCGACCAGTTTTGCGAGTAAGACTGCACCACACAGCTCCAGGCGTGGCAAGCTTACCGTCTTCAATGGTGCGACTTTGCTTTTTCCGTGGCATTACAAAACCCGTGGATTTGGGTATCTTGCCCAGAGTGCAATTAACCCATCGAGGGATTTCGATGAGGCAAATGGCTGGCAGATTTTCTGCGAACTGTTGCCATTTTGCCAAGGATATAGGTTTGGCACATTCGTCCCAATCAACGCCACTGGCGATAGCCATCCTGCCGGGTCAAATAGTTTTGCGACAGAAGATAAAATTTGTCGCTTTGTGACGGCATTCGATGTCGATGCAGGCAGAATGGTGTATGAAAATTTATCTATGAGTGCGTTCCATTGTATACCAAGAGTTTTGGTTGTGGAAGCGCTCTTAAATTTCAAAAAGTTGGAGTCGAGAAGATCCTCCTTTGGAAATTTTTCTAAAATGGCCGGCTGATTGGCCGTTAGTTTCTTGAGTATGAAATCAGCTGACTTAAGCGCTTTGATCACTTGAAAAAGTGATTCAGTGGCGTTGTCAATATCAGGACTTCTGGATAGGATGTCATCCACATACGTTTCGGTTTTAAGTATTGTGGCAGCCAAGGGAAATGTCGCTATCGTATCATCTGCTAATTGATCCAGGGTACGGATAGCGAGGTATGGTGCACAATTAACACCGAACGTTACGGTTTTAAGATTATAATCGGTGACAGGAGAGTCAGCCGATGTGCGAAATAAGATTCGCTGAAAATTTTTATCGTCCTCATGGATGAGTATTTGACGATACATTTTTTCAATGTCGCCATTGAACACGAATCTGTGCATTCGCTACTGCAGAATGAGCAGCATGAGATCTGGGTGGAGTGTGGGACCAGTGTGCAACACGTCATTCAGGGATTTTCCTGAACCAGATGTTTTTGAGGCGTTGAATACCACGCGAACTTTGGACACCTTATCTGGTTTGACGACCGCATGATGTGGCAAGTAGAAAGAGAAGTATTTGCCATTGGAAATTATCTCGCATGGATTCGTGTGCTCCATATGACCGAGGTCGAGATACTCTTGCAACACATTATTGTACATTGTGGCTAAGTCTCCTTTTTTCTGAAGCGATCGCTCCATACTGAAAAACTGCTGAAGTGCAGCAGACCGAGAGTGGCCCAGAGACAGCTTTTTTCGAAATTCTTCCTTGAATGGAAGTCGCACAATGTATCCACCGTTTGGGGCACGAGTCGTTGTTGTTGCATATATATGCTCACATGCCTCATCTTCAGGGGAAATTTGTGGAGGTTGTGGAATCTCCTCCTGTTCCCAAAACTTTCTAAGCTGAGAGCTCAGAGTTGTATTCGAGCACTCTTCTACTTGTGTCGAGAATGACACCACATTTTCGGTTATTGGACCACTGAGAATCCAGCAAAATATTGTTTTTTGCGCAAGTATAGTGTCGCAAATCTTTTTTATACCTTCCACCAGGATTTGTGGAAGTATATCGCTGCCGATTACCATATCAGTTTGAGCTGGTAAGTGACAGCTTGGGTCAGCAAGTTCAAGGATCTTGAATCGCTGCCAGTTTTCACGGCTAATGGTGAACGTAGGCATGTGCCTCGTGAGCTGAGGTAACACGATAGCCTGTGTGTTTATCCGTTGCATGGTTTTGGATGCAACCAATGTCAGTGGACAAAGCTTTGGGGAGCTTTGTACTACATGCCCACCCATGCCGGAAATTTCGAACTTGGAATGTTCGAATGGTAGTTTCAATCGTTTTTGAACTTTCGAGGAAATGAAAGTTCTAGGCTCTAAGTTGAAACAATTCCCCCTCGTGTTCAACTGCGACCATGGCAGTTGGAAGGAGAATTTTGATATCATTGTCGGTATGCAATGATTGTATTTGTGCTTGTTTGGAACAGCACGGTTGCTCGCTGGAATCGGGGCTTGACTGCGCTTGTCGAGCGGGAGGTGTCGACTGGGCAGTAGTGTGTTGTGCGGCGGTTTCATTCGCTCGCGCACTGGAGTGTCGAGATTGTGGTTTGGGATTCATGTGCAGCAGGGAGTGATGCCGTTGTTGGCAATGTGTACATGACCACTTGCTCGGACACTCATTAGTGCTATGGGTATCACCAAGGCAGTTTTTGCACAGCTTGGTTTGGTTTGCGAATTGTACTCGGTTTGGTACCGAAATTCGCTTAAATTGTGGGCAGACTCTAATGGGATGAGGGGACTTGCAGTAAGAGCAAGTTGGTTCCCTCTTAGGTTCTGCCACAAAGGTTTGAGTCCTGTTAAAGGACCTGTTTTGCGCAGCATTTTGATGAGCGACTGGTTTTTGTTTATTTTGGCTTGGATGAAGCCGGTTAAGTCTTTCGACTACTTCGTATCTTGAAGTAAGAAAATCGTCCATTTGTGACCATGAGGGTAAATCTCTTCGAGAAGAGAGAGATTGTTCCCAAAGTGACAGTGTGGTTTCGGGCAATTTGGATGAGCATATGTACACCAATATGGGATCCCAACTGTCTGTCTGGACGTCTTGGGAATTAAGAACTGACAGACAGTTGTTAATTGATGTTTGCAGCCTTTGAAGTTGCTCGCTATTCTCGGATTGAATAGTCGGCAAAGTCATCTAAATTTTAATTTGGTTGTCAACCAGGATACGTTTGTTTTCGTATCGTGACCGTAAAGCTTCCCAGGCCAGCTCGAAGTTATCGTCGCTGAGCGGATATTGCTTGACGATGGAGCCAGCTTTACCTTGGGTTTTGTATCGGAGGTGATACAATTTTTGAGCACGGGAGAGCTTCGGGTGGTTGATGTACACCGCTGTGAACATGTCACGAAAAGCGGGCCATTCTTCGTAACCGCCGTAAAATGTCTCCGTGTCACAAGGTGGGACTTGGAGGAAAACGTTTGCCTCTGCCGAGGTGTGTTCAACGCGAGGTGGTGGACTCGGTGCGGCGATTGCTCTAATCAACTACAGTTGATCGGCAATTTTAGCTTTGGTCACGTCATATAATTCAAGGCCAGTGAAGTACTTGCCTTCTACCGAATTCTTAAAGTTTTCGGGTAGGCTGTCATCTGGCTTTGAAAAAACCAAATCATAGGCGGGCTGAAGCCGTGCCCAACAATCATCTAGTGATTTGTCTTTTATCATAAGATATGATTCAGTGTGGTCTTGGATTGGTGCATCACTGAATTTTGCACAATATCTCATGATACTGTCACTTTCCGCTATAAACTTTTGAGCGGATGGGTCAAAAGTTTTGGATTTCCGGCGCGGTGAGGGTTCCCTCTTACCACTGGTGGCTTCTTGCGAAGCATTTTTTGACCTTGTCTCGATTTCAGACATTTTTGGTGGACTGTGTCCAAGAGGCATTTTAACTCTCGTGGATGGTCAAACGTATAAAAATTGAGATAAGAATTGATCAAATTTTGCTGAGTACCACCCAGATAACGTTCGCAAAAAATTAGAAAAATATATGTCAAACGAGTAAAAATTGCACTTTGTGCCACAGAAAATCAGGAAAAAAATTTTAAGATTTTCTGGCGGTGTTTGTGTTTTTATTTCTTGCAAATTATGTGAAATTATATTTGCTTTAATTTTTGGTTCAGCACTTTTTATTACGTGGAAAACGGAGCGTCCCAATTAAATCCGCGGAATATGGATTTGAAAAATTTCAGTACGAGAAAAAAAATCAGAAACACTTTTCACTTTTATATACGTGGTGAAATATACGTATGTATAAATATTTAATGTGATATAAATAATTATGTAAATACTGAAAAAGTATTGGTTATTTATCTAAACAAATGCAATTTGGAAGTTTTCCTCACTGGGTTGCATTTATCTAAATATCTTGAACTCACTTCTTATCGCATTATAATATGCGTTGGATAATATTTTTTGCTAGCACGTATGTACAAATGTGCAGAATATGTAGAATGTAAAAATGTACGTACGTATGTATGTACAAATATTTACGTATGAAGCCGAGTATATGGCTAAGCTATGCTTTGTCACAGCAGTGGTGAGTTAAGAAGCACAAAAAATCAGAAAGTTTGTTTTGATTTCAGAGCGTATGTATGTATGTGTGCGGGAATGCACAAGTGGATATGATAGCACGTAAAGAGCCGCTCACCGCTGAGGTGAGTTCTTGGTACCGAACGTATTCAAGTCGGAGAGCGGGCTTTGACTTACGTTCTCTTAGCTTGGTGAGTGCAGCAGAGAAAAGCGAGGTGGAAATAACTGAAATAAGTTAGAGTGCGTTTGGTATATGTGGACTGTATTGTCCGATGAACAACAGCGACTCTATTAGCTATTAAGCGAATAGTTCCAGAAAATGCAACTGGTAAAAAATGCTTATACATATGAGCTACCGTATGTACATATGGTTTAGGTGGAAAAAATGCACTTATGTTTTCGGGACTTTGTTAAGCCAAGTTCAACGAACTATGCGACCAACGGCAAAAATTGGTAAGCAGAGGAAAGTATATGATTTTAATGTGCTAATATTTGTTCTTGCACAGTGGGACACAGTAGGCATATAAACTGCAACGAAATTTATTTTGGGGTATATAATAAATTTTGTATATATGTACATATACCTATATATATATAAGATTGGCGGTAAGTGGAGGTATACCGCTTTCCGGAAAACGGAATTTTTCTACCAAAATTTTAATAGCGGCAAATTGCCGTTGTGGAATTTTGTGCGGCAGGAAAATATCCGCAATATTAATAGAACCGTTTTTGGCGAGAAAAAATACGCCTTTTATTTAATTATATATATATATATATGTATGTATATACGTATGTATGCCCGTTGGCAGTTTATTAGAAATAATATAACTTTTAAGAATACGAAAGTTATATTATTTAAATTCTTAAGGAAATTAAAAATGCCTACTTACTACATTCCTTGATTTATGTATATGTGTATGTGATTTTGCTCCTTTTTGCCTGGGGGCTTCTTGTGTCTGGTGTTGTTGTTGCCGCTTATGCTGTTGATGGCTGCTGATGTTGTTGATGGCTGCTGGTGGCGGTTGCCTGGCTGAAGTATGTAGGCCAATTTGTTTGGTTTGATGATGATGTTGTTGTGCTTCTTTAGGGCACAGCTTGTAATAGTTCACTCGATTGGTTTTTTATTCGACACTGTTGTGAATACCCCAAATGTAAGTAGCCATGTACACTAGGTGTATGAGTATGCAAACTTTTTCTTTTGTTTAAAAATTCAACAAAGTTTTTATTTTTCAGTTTTTTTTTTTGTGTTTGTATAAGATAATTTGCAAATGGAGCAGGAAATTATTTCACTGTTTTTTGCGAACTGTATATATATACATACAAATACGCGCACTTTTTTATTGTTTTTCCACTTAGTTAATAGTTTTTTTTGTTTAGCGGGCGCACGATACGCGTTTATTTTATTTTTAGAAAATTTTGTATTATTATTTATAAGTTTTTCTAGGAGCTGGGCCACGGTTGGCTGCGAAGGACCATGAATAATTTTCACTTGGTCCAAGGGACCAAGCCCTTCGCACTCACCTCTTTACACACACAAACTTTTTCCGATAAAGGAAAGATTTTTGTTCCGGATAATAATTACAAATATTTTTGTGTTTATTTATGCACAACAATTAATGATTATCTGCGTATGTACAGAGCGTGTTTATTAAATATTTAGATTTAAACATCCACTACTAGGGCGCGTGCGCGATGTCCGACGTTTTTGGCTGAACTGACTGGTCTCTCTTTTGGCCCGATGATGGGAAGCGGCCGTGCGCGCTCCTTAATCATTTTTCGGACTTCACACCGCTGCGGCCACAGGATGCGCGCACGGCCGCTGAATTAAGTTTAAGCGGCGGCTTAAACGCGCACTATTAAACTTTCCCAAACTTCGAGCACTGGCGATACTTGATATAAGATCACCACTTTCTAATGACTACTTCGAGCTACCTCCGCGGTTTTTATAGGGGATGACTCAGCCGAAGAAGTCACTCATGCCCTAATACTCACGCATACACTTTGCTTACATAATCACTCCACTTCGAAAGATACAAACATTCACACATACATACCACACTGCATTATCGAATCGCAGAGCTAGCAAGGTTCCGCACCGTTTGTTAACTAAGTCTGGTAGCAAGTTGTAGCTTGCACGGAAGTGCACACTTATACACTCGCAATATGCACAAAAGGCCCGCGCTACAAATATGCATTCTAAATGTGAACTTAATCGGATCATAAATACGGTTTTTCCAAATATCTCGACTCCTGCGCCACCTGTCGGCAAAATTTTTTGTGGATTTATTTATTTTCATATAAGTCATATATGTTCTAAATATGAACCACATCAGACTATAAGTGCGGGTTTTACAAATATCTCGACGCCACCTATCGGCAAATTTTTTTTCGGATTTATTTCTTTTCATATACGTAATATATGTTCTAAATACGAACCAAATCAGACCATAAATGCGGGTTTTACAAATATCTCGACTCCTGCGCCACCTAGCGGATTAAAGCATCTTTTAAATTGTATTGTCCTCGAGTTCTGAGCTAAGTTTGAAGTTTCAAGTATGTAGCTCATCGGGAAGTTTGTTAAATATTGACTGCA